CAATGGAGTAGGATAACCCCTTTGAAGAAATCACTACCTAACCAACTGATTCTCTACATTTTCATAAAATAACTAAATGTTTATTTACCCAGGAGAGCATACCAGCAGGAGCTATTTTGCTCTATAGATAAATACATAGTTACCAGAGATAATATAACAGCAAAACCATTTGGAGTCTCTAAGGTAACAATTTACAGTTTTAGCTTTTATGTTGCTTTTGTAGCCAGAATTCACTGTTTCTGAAAAAAGGGCAAATACTGCAATAAATGTTTAATGATTTATAAGCAAGGCAGGATATTCAGTGGTTGGTTAATTTTCAAGTTTTATGAAAACAACTGCAAAACTATTTTAAGATTGTTAAAAGTGCCATAATCATCTTTGAGTAATTAAGTAGCTCTGCTTACTTAAATCCAAACTTTTCATTAGTAAAATAGAATGTATCTACTAATTTAAATTGAAAAAATAAAGTATAAAGAGTTATCAACATTTTGACACTAAGTATGCCTTTGAGACACTAACAGCAAACTTTTCCTTTTTAGGAAAGATCGTTAAGTGTGGCTTCATTAAAGGAAAAATAGTTATAGTTAGTTAATATGCTCCACTTTTATAGTCAATGGTAGAAAGAATTCTTACAAATGAAAAAAAATTAATTCTTTAACAAATACATTAAAAAGCACTTCAAACAGTGAAGATTTAATTTGTTCAAGTAAATCAACAAAAATGTAGTGAAAAATATCTAAAGCACAGTTATTTTCGCAACAATAGAAATACTGAATAGTTTAATATTTAAACAGTTTGAGAATGTTTGCCTGTAAATAGCTAGATCATCTTATTTTGATAATTTATGTAGAAACACTCCAAATAGTCACATTTTGTAGAGTACTAATAATATGAATAATGGTCAGTAAAGCATTTCTAAATATAAAAAAAATTTTCCTTTCCCATACCAGTATATTGAAGTAAAAAATTAATAGTATTTACAAGCAGCAATATTACAAGAACATTTTCAATCAAAAGAAATTTCCATGGCAGGTGCAAGAATTGTCCACCCTCTTTTCTGTCCAATACGAGAAAGTGAAATCCTCTTATCTGCCACCCTGACACCGAAGAATATATTTGTCTACCTCAAAAAAAAAAAAAAAAAAAAAAATCTTAACATTTCAAGAGCCAACCCTCTGTCTGCTTTTCATGGTTTTCAAAGTAAAACAACCAAAACTCTTCGTTGTTGCAGTTCCAACAATCTATGGTTCAAACAGGGGTAATAGCTCCCTTTTTTGTCTGGTGGCATCCTGGTGAGGGAATGATTTTACTGTCCCTTTTCTGTGGGGTCCTGCCACTTTACCTAAAAGGAAAAGAATTACAACAGGATGACAGGGCCACAAAACAACGCTATTTAGTTTTACAAATCTATTATGTCCTCCAATCTGTTTTATGGGTCTGGTCCTATTATAAACCAAGAAAACCCCTAAAACAAACATTCTTCCTCCTCTTTCTTTCCATTGAAAACATCTACAATGTTATGATTGTTTTTCTAACAATTTAGCCCCCAAATATTTTCCCTTTATGCCCCCCACTTCCCAGACCTCCTCCATCCAACTTTTTCAAATATACAAAACATTCAGAGACAAGAAACTGGACTTTTCAAATACAAACTGCTGACAACTGTCAGAAGCACTTTGCTGGGACATTACTGACTGTAGCCTCAATGAATTACCGTAAGCTTGATTCTCTGCGGGTGAATCATTTTCAATGCAGAGCTGTTCAACATAATTGGCCCAGAATCCCTGCTGCGAAAACCACTTGTCAAATAATGCTTGTTTACAAATATATCTCCAGACAGGAAAAAATGGCAGTTATTGAATAAGTTCAGGGCCACCTCCAGATTCATAACAGTGGACAGGCTCCCTTTACTTATTAAATCTGTTAAAATTTCCCCTTGATACACTTGCTGATATTAGTTTTGCTTGATCAATATTAGATAAGATCCTTCCCAAATACAACTCTGGACCATTTTATAATAAAAAGTTTTGTGTATTATTTTGTAGTTCAAAGGTTTCTTCCACAGCTAATTTATGCCTAACGTGTGTAATAAGAGAACGAAGTATTTATCTTAGAATGTCAGCTACAGAGAAAATTTACAGCCTTTTCTCTAACATACTTTAACATACCTTGCTCATCAATCCAAGATTCTAGATATATGTTTGCCTTTTTCTCTTCAATTCGGCCTATTTATGTCTACTGAAGTTAAATTTTATAAATAACTAATTACAAATTATGAATATAAACTCACATTTCTATCTGCCTTGATTTTTTTTCTTGTTATATAATGGGAACATTATATTATACACATATGTAAGGTATATACAGGGTGGAGCAAAAGTGCTTTTACAGCTGTTCCTATGAAAAATAATACAACAATGAATAAAATATAAAAATAAGCTGTGTTTCCTGTACTCACAACTGTAAACCTACTTTTGCCCCACCCTGTATACATTACCATCTGGGAAATCGCTGAGCATCTATAGATTGTAGAAAGCAAAGCATATATGAGAGCAAGTTATTATTAATGGGTTCAGAGTACACATCATATCTTTCTGCCCTTGATATTACAGAGTCCCTCCAAAAATAAACAATCAAAAACAAGCTTACAACTCCAATCTGAATTTTTAAATAAATAGACTGCTGCAGCAAATATTTTCATCTATTCTTGTTGTATGACTTGCAACACTGTCATAGAGAAACAAAAAAAATAAAAGAACATAGAGAAAAGCATAAATAAATGTCTGGGGTGGTAGTAATGGAAAGACAAAAAACTGTGTTGGGCAGAGATGGAATGAATGAGATGGAGTCCTATATATTAATAAGGTTTTATTTTTTAATTACATAAAATAGTGACACATTACAAAATGTGCTCCAAACAGCAGACATGCCTTATTTTTAGGTCTTTCAGAGCAGCCCTGGGTGGTAAAGTAGTGTTCATTTTTGGTTAGACCTCTGCCACTCTGTCTCATGGTAGCCCAAGTTCTGCTGTGTGCTCCTTTAGCTGGGGTAAGGATAAAACAGCCCATGGATGTTAAGTTTATACAGTCAGCCAGTCTCTCTTCCACAAGGTCTAGTTCCACTTACAACACTTTAGGAGACCGGCACTATGTCCTGGCTTCCCTCCATTTCCTTCTGCCTCTTCTTCCTCCTCACACAGTCTTGGCCCTCCTTTCTATTCAGGGGCACCACCTCATTCCATCCCCCCCCCCCCCCCACAGCTACTTACTCCCTTTCATCTCTCGACAGTCCCCTTCCCCCATCACACCTGGGGAGGGGGGGAGGTGGATATACTAGGAACACGAAAGAATGCATATAATGAGTACTCTTTAAATCCAAACCAGGACAAACCAGGATGCCCCTTCCGGTGGAATAAGACATTTAATGAAAGGATTCCTGGACTTCTAATATAATGAATTTAACAGGAGAAGCTCATAATAGGGCTAGGACTCAGATAACACTTGTCAAGTTAACGGGGAAGGGGAAATGCAGATTGCTTGGATTAGGCACGGGTGATGGCAGGCAGATTAAACTAGTATAACCCTTAAATTAATATTTTTAAAATAGAAATTAAAGAGAGAAGTTCATGGAGTGGAGGAGGACGGGAGTCTCAGTCTGCTCAGCTTTCACGGGGCTCCTGAGAGCTGGCAGCGCTTGGGAACCAGCTCAGCCTTCTCTTACAACCGAGGCAAACCCATGCGCTTCCTGAGGACACAGGACTCCTGAGGACACTGGACTCCACCGCCGCTCATCTTCCCGGCCCAGAGTCCCTCCCTCGCCCCGGGGCTGGAAGGACAATGTCAAGGTTCGGTGCCTCACTGGTGGCATCTGAAACCCCAGCCCTCCCGCGAGGGGGTCGGGTTTTAGATGTTTTCCTGGTGGAGCTGACAACTCCTGCAACCCCGGTCAGCTCTGAGATGCTGCCCCTCACCCTCACCCGGAGGGACGTGTCCTGCTGCTGAGACCCGGTGTGGAGCAAGGTCCGGGGAGAGCGCCCGCGCGGCGGAGCGACCCAGCGACCCGGCGACCCAGCGACCCCGAGGCCCAAGGCTGCGGGGCGGCGGCGGACCCTGGGCTGCAGGGCACCGATCACTGCACAGGTGCGGCTCCCGCACCCGGCCTTCCCCTCCCAGCCGCAGGCAGGGACAGCGTTCCGGGTCTGGGGAAGCAGGGAGGCGCACTGGGGACTCCAGCCGCCGACTTTTCCCTGAGGAAACGCAGAGACAAGCCCCAGGGGGGTCCAGCGGCAACTTCCCTGCAGCGACATCCCACCCCTCATCCCACTTTTGCGCCTCCTCCCGATGATGTCGCCTCGGTGGGACTAGGAGCCCCCAAAAGAAAGGCACCCTACAGGGCAGGGCGCCTCCATTCAGCCCTCCGCCACCCCCACCTCCCCCGGGGAAATAAAAGCTCTGGCCACCCACCCCAGAATAGCAGCTGGCGGTGCCCTAAATAACAGCTCCCCGGAGGGAGGCACTTCCCTCCAAATAAAAGCATCCAGCCAGCCGCCCCCACCACCTTTCCCACCGCCAGCCTCAAATAACGGTTTCTGAAAGCCCCGCGCACGGCTCCCCGGGTCCCGGCCGCTGCGCTTCCCCAAACAGTTCCCGCTCCTCCGGACCCGACACGGCACTGCCCCGCGCCCCAGCCGCACCCAGCCTCCTGACCGGGGTCCCCGACATCTCTGTACCCCGCTCCCCAACTTCCCAGGCACTCCCTCCCCCCCTTCCCAGCTAGCCTCTGTGCACAGCAGGCTGCTCGCCCGCACTCCCGCAGCTCGTGTCCAGCCATACCACCGGGAACCCCGGAGCGCGGGCGGAAAGGCCGGGGAAAGCTGCCCGCACGCGTGAATCCCAGCCCGGGAGGGGGATCGTGCCCCCTGCAGCCGCGTCCCCAGGCCCCGCCTCGCCCCGCCGGCCGGGGTGGCCCCGGTCACCCCTCTCCCCTCCCCTCTGCTCTACCTTCATTGCTGGGGCTGGCCAGGAGGGTCCGGAGCGCCGCGCACAGGAGGAGGCAGGTCCAGAGGGGGGCCCTTCGGGGCGCGGGGTAGCGGCCGGCCGGAGAAGCAGGGGCGCTGGGCGAGGCCGCGCCGCGGCCCGGGGGCCCCCAGCCCCGCATCTTCCCCGCGCGGCTCAGTCCGGGACTCCGGGCCGCCGCGCGGGGGGACGGGCTCGCGGCTCCGCGGCTCCGGGCGCGCGGGCTCCTGCCGAGGCGATGCGGGGAGCGCGGGTCGTCGGAGCCGGAGGAAGTTTGCCTCCGACCCCTGTTCTCCCTCCTCTCCGGGGGGCTCCGGGAAACACACTCGTTACTCCAGGGCGTCCAGAAGGTCCCGCTCCCTCGCCTCCTGGGAACGGCGAGGATGCGGTCTTGGGAACGCGCCAGGGGAGATCTGCTCCTCGGTCTTCGGGGCTGCAGCGGACGGGGGTTAAGGAAGACAAGTCATCTCAAGTCCAGAAGAAATCCCCCGTAAACCGGGAAGCGGGGAGATCCGGGCGGCTAAGGGGGAAGGAAAGGAGTTGAGAAAATGCGGGGTGGGGGACTAGGGGAGGGAGAGGCCAGGCGAGGAAAAGAGCCGAGTTCCCCGAGGCTGGCGGAGGGAAGAGCTGCGGGCGGCGCGGCGCCGGGTGCGGGGCTGGAGGTCCGCGCGGCTCGGGGCGGAGGCGGCGGTGTGTGCGCGGCTGCGAGGCGAGGTGGCAACTGCGCCGCACGGCGCGCTCCCGCTGTGTCTGGGGCTCCGAGCTCCTCGCAGCCTCCCCACTCCGCACCTCCCACCCTCCTCCTCCCCCTCCTCCCTCCTCCCTCCCCCCTCCTCCCGGCTCCCCGCCCTCCGCTGCCCGCCCAGCCCCGCCGGAGAGGATCCGCTGTACGTGCGAGTTGCTAGGACCAAGTCACACGCCCGCGGAGGAGGGAGGCGATCAGGATGCTGCCCTGGTGAGTGTTGCCTAGCGTTCTCTCCAGGAAAGGCTCGTCGTCACCCTCCCCGGAGAATGAGGGTGAAGAATCCTCCTGAGGTCGCCAAGGAGGACCCGCGCTCCCCCCTCCTCACCTCTCCGCCTCCCTCCCCCCAGGAGGAAGAGAAATCAAGCCCCGGCCCAGCGCAGCCCCCGGGAGAAGAAGCGGGTTCCTGGGTTTGGCATTCTGCCTGCCTGCTGCCTGCCCACCACAGGCTGGTGGCATCAGCCACCGGGTGGGAACATGGGCACGCATTCGCAGGCTCCGCTGCCGGAGGACTGGCTGCTGGCACACCTATACCGCTGACAGCTCTGTTGCTGACCCTTTCTGTGCTTCCGATTCTCACGCTGCCTGGATGGGATCATGAGGCAACGTTTCCTTCGGACGTCAATTGCAGCGTTTCTGAATTTAGACATGATGGAGATTTTGGGGGAGTCCAGGAATTTGGCTTAATGAGATTTGTAGGGCACCAGGTATTTTAAGCTGTGATGACTTAATTCATCCATTTCATTGATAGAATGTCTTAGTGTCCAAGAAATTATATGATATGCAGATACATGTCATTCATTCTAATGAAACTGGCACAGGTCAAATCATTTCAGTTTAAAAAAATAATTTTAGTTTCTCGTGTTCTACTGCATTGAGAGACAAATCAGTATGGACAAAACCAATTTAAAACAATTAACTTTCTCTGCTTCACCTCTATACGTCTACTCTTGCTTTAATATTTTTCTTCAATTTTCCATTAATTCTCTCAAAGAGATACCTCCGATGGGCAATTTTAGTATACTGGCACAGAAAGAAAAAAAGAGTGCAAAGCATTTACAAACAAGTGTGATTTCAGAAGAATTGTATTCTGGTTAATTGGTGTGTAGTAACTAACTATTGTAAAGGTTGGGCTTGCCTTCACACCGAATAAAGGAAAGTCTGCTCGCGGGCTTTGACATCTAGAGTCCTGTTTGCACAAGAAATGTCTCATAATCTTTAGCTGAAAGACATTTGCTTTTTTGTTTAAATATTTGCAATGAAGATTAAAAGAATGAAATAGCAGAAAAGCAACTTTGTAAATAGGTGGAGGCTCATCTTTCTTTCTTTCTTTGACTGTTTTCACTGAAATATTTTGGCACCAGAAATCTAAAAGCTGCTTATTTCTATTGCAACGTTGTCCGCATGCGTAAGCAAATTTAGAGGAATAACAGTGAATCAATCAACATCCAGTTTGGCAAGCAGCCTCACAGTGAAATGCAAAGTTAAGATTTATGTTTCCTTTTGAAGGCCATTCAAGAAATAAGCCCCTCCCCCTAAATTTATAGATGAGTTATTCACAAAGATCTAAACAGAATATTAAATACGTTACCTGAAGCCTAGGGATACATGACAATGCTAATATTAGATATAGGCAGTTGAATGGGGCTCTCACATAGTTGCTTCCCTTCTGTAGGCCTCAGTATCCTCATCAGTAGAAGGAGAGACTGGGAATCTTCCTTCTCTTCCATATTTTTTGCATTTCTGTATTATTACTCTGTCCATCTATTTCCAATTGTGTTCTATTGGCTACAAAATTACCCAATTTCTTCAGCATAGCGTTTAGTGCTTCTACTACAAAGAACTAAAACCGTACATTCAGTGCCCCCTAAATTGCCTGTACCTCTCTGTCTTTACATCTGTCACTACATTCTACATAACTTTTATGCCTAAAAAAATTAACACCTCTCCCCTCTCCCCGCCGAACACTCACACATATCTCATCTAAATTTTACCGAATGGCCCCACCTGTGTGACTCAGTGGATTGAGCATTATCACATGCTCCAAGAAGTCACAGATGTGATTCCCCATCTGACAATGTTCCTCTCTCTCCCTCTCCATTCCTGTAGCTCTAAAAACAAACAAACAACAAAAAAAAAAACATTTTAATAAACATTTTAAAAAGTAAATCCTACCCAGTGTCCAAGGAGAGTCAAGACCAGTTTTTTTCCAAAATGAAGTGACTTGGTTCTCCTCAAAGTTTCCATAAGTTGTGATGTATGTAAATCAACACAACTGGCAATATTTTCTGAATTAAAAATTGGAACAAATTAACCAGCAATTTTAAGTATATATATATATATATATATATATATATATATATATATTGACATAAAGAGACAATTTAAACAGGGAATGTCAAAGAAAACCTGAAACACTGGTTTCGTCACCATAATGATGGTGTGTAATTGTGTGAACTCCTACCCAAGATAGCTAAATGATTATATGACTGAGAACACAGAATGCAAAATACTTAGTATTCTCCATCTTAAAAGATAGCCATATTTCTCATGATTATTTGATAATAATTTTGAAAGAATGAACAGCTAGCTGTAAAACAAAGCCCTAGTGACAGCAAAGAAAGTGATTTTTTTTTTTAAAAATCTAGTGAGTATTCATCAGAAAAGGTAATAGGTGGTCTGGCTTGGGTTTCAGTCTTAAAGGAAATGCTATATTTGACCATGTGATGATTTCTTGGCATGTAAATGCCATTAGCATACTTACATTGGATCATGGCATTATAGGAAAAGAAAAATGGTGGCGTTTTTTTTTTTTTTCTTCATTCACATTTACTGCTTTGCACAAGAAAATACTACAACATCAATCCTGGTTTGGATGTCATTGTGTGAATTTCTCATTGTTTGGGATAAGTGCTGGACCCTCAAAATATGAAAGTTGGTGTCTCCCTGGATCCCTGCTTGGATCTTGGCTTTTGTACTAAGCTTTTGTGAAGGAGAGATATTTAGAGTCACCATGAAAAGACACCTTAAAAGTTCACTACCCTATAAAAGGTGTTATAATTAAGTTCAGTGTATTAATAAGCCTGAATATATTGTCACTGCATTCAATGTAGAATAACAAAAACAATCACAATAAGCAGACATGCTAGTGTTTACTGAAGTTTTGCTATGTGTGAAGCATTATGTGATATTTTGCATTAATTATTTTACTTAATGCTGACACTTCAACCATGATGTCAGTGTAATTAATAGCCTCATGTTAATGATAAGAAGACCAAGGACATGAGGTTAGATGAGCTGAGCAGTCTTACAGCTGGTAAAACAAGGGAATTTAAACACATGGTGCTAACTCTACTTGAGAAAATTGTAACTGAATTAAAGAACAAATAACTAGATTTTCTGAAAAAAGAAAAAGAGGACTACTATGAAATTCTGCATTAACAAGAATAATTAATAGATACAAATATTCAAATTTTCATGTTCATTTAAATCTGAAAGGAATTAGCCAAATAATAAAGTGCAAGTCAAATAAGAGATTGGGAGAAAACAATAAATGAAGGATGCTAAATAAGCATAACCTGGAGAAAAAAAATTATCTCACATGCATGAAATCATGCACACAGTCTGCCTGTGTACAATGAAACAATGGACCAAATCAAGAAAATAAGAATGAGGTGTATTTTCCAATAATATTAACACAAAAAGATGTTACCATTTAAATTATGGTAGAAATCATAAACAACAGTTTTTACAAAACTAAATGAAATGCCACAAACCAAAAAGTATTTTCCTAAAATATTTTGTAATGTTAGCAATTTTTACATACGTTTAAATGTTTTTGTCCCTTAGTTACATTTTTTTAGGAGAATTTGGGGAAAAAAATAAAAATAAAATTTTAACTCATGGTAGTTTAAATATAAAATTATAAGATACCCTATCCTGGCCAGTGTAGCTCTGTGGTTGAGCATCAACCTATGAACCAAGAGTTAATGTTTTGATTCCTGGTCAGGTTGAAGGCTCAATCGGCAGTGTTGGATTTGCAGGAGGCAGCTGATCATTGATACTCTCTCACCATTGATGTTTCTATCTCTCTCTCCCCCTTCCTTCCTCTCTGAAATCAATAAAAATATGTTTTATAAAAAATATATCCTAATGAAATTGTGAGATACTTTATTGAAGTTAAATTTTCAGGTCCATGATTTGCTAAAGAGGATAGCTATATGATGATGTTAATTATTTTGATCCTAAAGGTAAATATTAACTAAAATATATTAAACTAATCCATAGTTCTCAAGTTCACAACCAAGATAATTCTAATATATTCACCATTTTATATGTTGCATTTTAATTTAATTACATAAAACAAAATATTTTAAGTTTTGTTCATTGTTATTTTGTTC